ATACGGCCGCCGATCGATAGATCTCTCTCTATTTTTCATGAATGCAGGGGGGCGATTCATTGTCGATTCAAGACAAGTCGTAGACAATCGTAGGTACAGTAATGGTGTATCTCTCGAGACACCTTGTGTACTTGAAGAAAAATTTTTTTCACAGAGTCTATTTTTGCTCGATCGTAGAAAAAATGTTGCACGGGACTGCGATAACTTTAGTCTCACGGCTTGTGAAGTATCGAACGCAGCGAACCACGGCGGCAGTCGATTAGCGAGGGTATAGTCTGGGGTTTTGCTGGAATCGATTACGGAATCCCACGCTTCTTGTTTGCTATAGAAAACACTTTGCATCCATTTCAATCTCTTCGCGCTTTGACATGTGCTGACGATTCACCACCGTTTCATCCTTCTAGAAACGATCGCGACGTTAACGTTAATTTTTCCTTCCTATTCACCACTCGTCGATGATCGCCGATTGAAGAAGAAACAGACTGAAAAGGAGAAAGAATCGACTTTCATGGAATGTGTCGGAAATAAGCGTCACACTCATCACGGATGAAACAGACTCGGGGGATCGAGCGGGGGAAAAATTCCAGTACATGAGCGGCATCTACTGCCCGCTGATACACATACGAAAATAGACGTCAAATATACGCAACAGTGTTTTCTAAGTACGCAACAGCGTTTTGGCAACGGCTCAGGTCACAGAGTTCCTTTCTAGAGTGATTCAAATTTGTCGCAGCCGGTACTGTTGCGAACAACTCGATGCGTATAAACGCCGCACTTCCCCGAAGGCGCGTTAAGGAGAGATCCGTTAACCGTTCTCGTTGTTACGATCTGAGCAAGCACTTTAACGCACGCTTCGTCTCGTGAGTCATTGCCAAGAATCGCTACAGTTCTTCATTTTTAGAGATGTGCGAATCGAATCTAATGTAAATCGATTCGATTCGAGTCCGAATCCCTGTGATCCCTGTGATTCGAATCCGAATAATTCGAATAGGAATCAAATATACGCAAATTATCGTTTGCGTGCGTCAGCTACAAAACGGGCCATCTGGGCCTGTATGTTTGAACCCTTAATTAACCCTTATAATTAATAACATAATTATAAATTACTTTAAATATTCAAGTATATATTTTACTTTAAGATGATATTGCAATATCAATATTCTCTTTCATATTAAAATCTTCCATCATTATTTGCATGTTTAATAGTCGTGTTAAATTTTTTAATGATTCGATTCGATTTGAATTCGAATGAAATTTCATAGATTCTCGATTCGATCCGAATTAAAAAAAATGAGATTCGATTCGGCGTAAAAATTCTTGATTCGCACATCTCTATTAATTTTCTTACATCTCCGGACGAAAATACAAGGATAACACTGCAAACCCGAGTGTGTTATTTTGACGCGTATAAGCTGAAGCTTCCTTTATACGTGTATCTTGTCGTCTTGAATCACGTCGCGTTTAACGCGTTTAAACGCGTTAAGTGATATCGAAATGCATCAAATGACGTGACTTCGAACGAGATGACAAGAAACGCGTGAGGAAAGCTTCAGCTTATATGTGTCAAAACATAACACACTCGGGTTTGCAGCGAACTCGTACACGATCCTGAGAGATATCCTGAGGTCACTAGCAGCTCGTTCTCCGCGATATCATCGAATTCGCGAAGTTTTCAGCTATTTTTAAATACGCTAAACGAATCCGCGCGCAGCCGAGTAATTAACATTGCAGCGACAAGGCTGCGACTTGAATTCCATTCTCGTCGGTGCGGCGATGAAACCGCGACAACTGTGCGTATTCACACAACAGACTCGAGACAGCCGCTATTTTTCGCGAGGCTTTACGAAATACAGAGCAGCATGTCCAACTTCATATCACATGACAGAATTTTGGGAAACATAAAAAAAGGAATAACAAACGCGACAACAAACGACTAATATTGCTAACTACGAGACACAAGCGAGAAATAATTGTTCTAATTTAATTAAATATTCTAATACTAATTTAAATAATTATAATGCGAATAGTATCAAACTAATTATTTGTTTTAGCAACTCAAACATATACGAGTTTTCGTTCTTTTCTCGTTGGACAAATGAAAGAAGAGATGCGAGAAGTAAGTCACACAATCACTACAACTTGACTCTGGTATTTCACGGTCGCGGACACGAGGTTGTGGAGGATGGAGAAACACGCGCTCGAAGGACCGTGTCTTCCTAGTTCGCGTTGCTTCACACCAGTTTCGTACTTAGTCACCTCGCGCTATCCCGTGTCCCTTGTCAGGATTATTAAGTGCGCTCGGGAGAGACGATGTCTCGGTACGTCCGAGCGAAGACTCGCCTCGACGCATCAAAACGCCCCATCGAAGAAGTTGGCGATGCTGACCCTGACCTATCCCACGTGCAAATGTCGTAAAAGTCTCGTATGGGCTGCGAAAGTCAGCTTATAAGACTGATACACAGTGACGTGTGTTCTCTCTCTCTCTCTCTCTCTCTCTCTCTCTCTCTCTCTCTCTTTCTCTCTCCCTCGCTCGCGCATCACGCTCTCACGAACGGGAGAGGCGTTTACGCGCTGTGTATAAAACCCGACGAACTCGTGCTTGTACTTGCGAGGTGGGTAATTGCGGGTCTTTGACGGCGAAGACGAGCCGTATTCATCGATATCGCCTTCGAAGAGCGCCTTCGGAGACCTGCTTCAAGAGAGAAAGAGAGCGGAGAGAAAGAGAGAGAGAGAGAGAGAGAGAGAGAGAGAGAGAGAGAGAGAGAGAGAGAGAGAGAGAGAGAGAGAGATATTACGCTGTCTGATCTTGCGAAACTTTCTCGACACTTCGGGAGAAACGATAACAATAGCTTGTGCCCCCTGAAGAACCGTTACGTTTTTACGGAGTTTCAACAGGATGAGCGAATAATGCCCCGAAAGAAAAAACACGATCCACGTCACATCTCAACCGACTTTCATCACTTGAATCCGCAGTTCGAGATTACCAGAAAAAGAAAAACAACCCAGAGTTCAAACTTCTTCGTTGCTCCTCTACTCTTCTCCATCGTATTCACGATTTTCATATTCACTTGTGAACTTGCGGAACGTAAGGTTCGCCGACATATACAGGCATACTGGAGAGACTTGTTACTGAAGTTCGTCGGGTCGTCGATGATTTTATTGGCTTACAAGATGAGTCATTTGGCATACACACATACACACATAGACTCGAGCTGATAAATATGCATCGTGAATCGTATTATATCATATTTATTTACCGTGTCTCTCGTGATTACTCGAGCTTCGGTTGCGCTTAGAGACAGTCAGTGGAAATTTACCCCGTGGCAATCGACATGTTAACAATAGCAAGATGACGGATTAAAAATCCGACGAACTTTCGCAAGCTCCTGAGACAAGACCGCGCAATTCTTTCATCAACCTTACCTCTTCAGATTGGCGTGCTTCGCGCCGTTCAGGATCTTATTTTTGCGCTCGCTGCCGGCGGTGCTGGCGTCGCTGTCGATGCTGTAGAGGCTGTCGTCCTTGGTGACCCTGGCGTTGTGCAGGGTCGACTTCCTCGTGGCGGTGCCGTTGTGCTTCGGGCTCTCGATCGGCCGAGAGTCCCGCTGTGGGCCGACCGCGTGAGACGGCGGTGTGTGCCGCAGGTCGCTGGTCGCATGATCCTCGATCCTGGTGGAGACGATCATCGTTCTAGTCGCGTCCGTGTACTTCCTGGGTGAGGCGCTGGCCACGACGTTGCTCTTTTGCAGCTTGGCGGCGCGATAATTGTTCTGGCTGGCTTCTCCGGGCGGTGGCTTGTCCTCCGTCGGCAGCATGTACGACAACATCGTCCCTCTTGCCTTCACCTGGAATACGAAGGCGGAAATTCAGCGCGACCGCCGCTTCGACGAAGGCGGGGGACGGGGGGAAGTGGTCGTTGTTAACCGGTAGCGCAACGGCGAGAAAAATAAGTAGCGGTACAAAAGAGATCAATCGAGTGTCGTAGGAAGCGCGGAAAAAGCGCACCGTTCATGGTAAAAAGAGCACGACGGACAGCTGGTTGATTGATGTTTCAAGAGATATATTTAGAGGTTAATAACATCACGGAAATAATACACATTGCGGAATGTGCATGCGGGGACCTCGTGCTAACGTATATTACATCCGCGGGAAGGTCCAACGAAATGATGTTATTTGATTCTCGCATGCGCGCGCATAAGTCATACAGGGCCGAAGAAAAATTGCAACGTTCAAAATTATACATTCCGCCAGGCGAGTAAGAGCAAACAGCGCGACATTTTGGACTTCAGTCGCACGTGATTTAATTTTCACACCCCTCTCGCGATTTAATCCTCATGTAATCCGATAAATCGTGAAAAGCTACCGTCGCATGAAACCCGACGAGAAGTATTGCAAGAGAAAGAGAGAAACGACTTGATTTCATCGACTCCGCGCTGAGGAACTGCGGACAATAGCGAGCATTGTTCCTGGAGCATTAAAAGGATTAAGCCGACGCACGGTTCGATATCTGGCGACGGTCGCGCGATTTCGCGCGCATCACGGCGCTTACAGTCTCCGGTGACGAAGAACAATTATTATTAGCGCGATAAGCCAGCCGTCTCCTGTCAAACCGGCGGGCGTCGTGTCCTCGCCGTCGCGAGAGATTTTCCCGAACGTATGACGTCAGCATCATCATCATTATCACATCGTCGTCGTCGTCGTCGTCGTTATCATCGCCTACGAGTAACTGTATCAGACACCGCCCGTCGGTGTCCCGCAACGATGTTACGCAAACAGCCGCGATCAATCGGAACGCGAGCGCTCGGACGAAACGATCCGCTTTAAATGCGTTTACACAGTCATTGACTGACATAGACCGCGAGACGTCGTATCTATCTTTAGGCGCCGTTGACGACAAAGTACGCGCACCTTTGCGCGATATCCAATATGAAAAAGAAAAAAAAAAGAGAGAGAAACGGCGAACATCGCGGAACGTCGAGTGAACAGAGAACGCGCCTCTGGATCGTGTTTCTCTCGAACGAGACGCTCGTAAATGAAGACACGAGAAGGCGGGTAATACCTGGCCTGGTCAATGTACGTGGAACGTGGAAGTCGAGCGAGCGCAAGGGACGCTGGAGTTATACAGCGCGGACTCCCTGATGAATGGGAAACGTTTGAGGAACGGGTGATATCGATGACTGCCGCGGATGACCGACGCGACGCGACGCGGTCGCGAGCTAACCGAAAGCTCATGATTGAGACGCGAGAATTCTAAACGGAGGTTCTGCAGCGCACGTAAATCGAGAGAATGCCAGACTCGTGATACAGTACGTTAATAATAGAAAATTAACATCGAACAGAGAGCAAGGAAAACAGATTGCTAATCCCACTAAAATCATAGTCATTTTCCGCATCGATCATATTTTTTGTCATTCTAAAAAAGATGCAATATGCGTATAAGATTATATACCGTCATTAACATTGCAACAGCACTTATCGATGCCTTGACGGGCTATGATTATCTCACTACGCTACAGAGTTACAGAGTCAACACTTTCCTCGGTGAGTGATTCGACAGAACGACCTGCGGTAGAAACGATGTGTATGACGAGGACGACGATGATAAAATAAAAAGAAGATTAATGGCGAAGAGGAGCGAAATGCGACGGCAGCGAGATCAAACGCGGCTAAATCGGCGACTTAAGACGAGCCGCTGGAAAATCGCGCGTAAAGGAGCCGCGACTGCGAGAACTAATCGCCAAGTCCGCTCAACCGATTCGTCGGCATCGCTTCGTCTGATGTATCGGCACCGACTCACTCACCGGTGCGCGTAAGTTCTCGTCCCGCGGCGTTTATCACTCGCGGAGCTTCACGCATCGACGAATCGTCGTCGCGTCGTTCACGCTCAGACGCGCGCGATTTCGCACGTCGACTTCATTAGCGTGCAGAAAACCGCGCGCGCGGTCGCGAGCTTTACTCCGCGACTCGTTCACTCGCTCGCTCGCACCGACGCTTGCGCGCGTTTGCTCAATGACTACTTCTCCCGTGACCTCGTGATCGCACTGCTTTTTGGCACACGATCGTGTCTCTGCGAAATTATTTTAGCGCATCAACCCTTGCCTCAACGAAAGACACGCGCGTCACTCGCTCGCGGATCAAGATGCTATCGCATCGCGATGACTTCGCAAACATCGACACTCATTCGTCGCCTGACGGGCGAGCGTCTCATTGACACTTCCGACGCGCGATCACAAGTACCGTCGTCACTTCCGCCGACGTCTCTCTTGAGCCGCCTGCACCGGCGACACGGAGGATCAGGCGCGAGATGGAGAGGAACGTTCGTTCGGAGTAGAACGCCAGGCCGCAACTGAGCCGTGAGCGGCGACGCAAAAGCGAGGCAAAGGTTACAGATACGGCCGACTATAGCTATACCTACTCTACTCCGCTCTAGCCGGCCGCCTCTCTCATCCGTTCCGTTCTAGACGAACGTTCTCCGGCGCAAACCTGCGCGTTCTGTGCCGCCGCTATCGGTTCCACGTATGTACATCAATTCGGAGGTGATATCGTCCTCCTGAGGCGGCATGCATCTTGCAGCGTCTACATATACATCTGTACACATGTAAGAGAGTCTGGCTATGCCCGGTCGGCATTTCCTCTCTCTCTCTCTCTCTCTCTCTCTCTCGTGCCCCCCTGCGTGACGTCGGATTTCTATCCGTTTGAAATAGTGGATTTCCACTCGCCGCTACTACACACCGGCGGATAAAGTAGCCGGTCGTTAATGTTGCATCAAGGCGAGCAAGGTTGCAAATTTTTATAGCTGCGCCAGCCACGAGACGCGCGGAAGCGGATCGATTCCCATAAAAAGTAGTAAATTGGGAGTGGCGTCGTGATTAGCGGCTGAATCGCGTAATCACGTCAGCTCGTGGGACATTTCTAAGCCTTCTTCGTCTTCACCATTGCTCTCGTCGGAAAAAAGTACCTCTCTCGTTCTCGCACTTCGTCTTGTCGGCCGCGCACCGAACCGAATGGTAACCGAATGGTTTTTCCTGTCGTGCAATTTTTCCCACGGAAACGCTTCTCCTATTCATCGAGGATAGAAAAAGATATAAATTGGACGCGACGATCTTCTCATCACATCAATCAGTCATTCTCATCTCATTAATTGTTAATTCTGTTTTGTTAAGATAGCGGGAAGAATTTAATAATTTTCAACGATTTCACAATCCCTCTCTCTCCGGAATGCTCTCCGGAGGTTCCAGGGGTAAATAAGGACTGCTACGAATACGCGGCGGCAGGTGTATTTATGATCATTACCGCCACGGAGAGAAAATGTTCCACCGGATTGATAAGATCGCTGCGAGTGGGTCTGCAAGTTACAATTTAGAATTAGGTCGCCGAGATGCATCAGGCAGATCATCTTTTAAGGTCGTTAGTATCTTACCGTTTATTAATAAAGATCGCATAAGTGACGAAATTGATTTTCCCCCCGAGTTTGCTCTGACTTTACTGAAATTCTATTTCGCGAATATCAAGGACACCACGGAAAAAAAACTAATAATTTCTGATTATTCACGAATTATTTATCATTACAAGCATATTTTTCATTCATTTAGAATTACCTTTATTTACATAGAATATTCTGAATATCAAGGAAAGATTATTCAACAATACTTTTCCGAAGTTTCATTGCAATTTATTTCTGATCATTGATGTATTAGTTATCATCACAAGCGTATTAATTTATTCAGAAATATTTTTTATCTATTCGCTTTCAAAAATTTAGAAATGAATTTTTAAGTAGTTATTAGGGGGCCGGTTGTTCCAACTTACCAAGGAATTGAAACAACTGACCCTAAGACGAGATGCAACTGAATATTCTCGAAGGATAAGTGGGATTAAGCCGCGCTTGATCGCGAGAATACCCCTCGTTTCGTGAAGAAATGTGCTTCGAGGTACACCCTAATCCGAGCAGTCTCGCCGATTTGCGACATTTCTCGGAGTCTTCCGCGGAACCGAAACGCTCGATCGCTTCGCGCGTGCAGGTAGAACTGCAGGTGCATTCGTCGTGACGAGCGCCGCCAGTACCGTGGCGGCGGCGGCGGCGGCCGTGGTAGCCATTCAACCTGCTCCTTTCCCATGCGAACCCCCGTCTGGTTTAAAGAGCCCCGAGCCCTTCCGTGCGTGAAGAATTTCACGGCTGAATCGGCTCCCATCCGCTCCCGTTACGCGGGCTTTACAAACACCGGAACGAACCCGATTTTCCTTCGGCAAATCACGGTCACGGAGGATATTTCGAGGCGCTCGCGGTTGCGTTTCCGAGATGAGTGCTTGCGCAGCCAGTTAACCCTTTAACCGACATCGCTCGCCGCCGCACTTTTCGCGATATCGAATGGCTCTCATTCGAGGTGTTCGTTTGGTAAACGCGACTTACGAGGGTGTGAAAGTTACTACACGCTTGTGCGGATATGAATGCCATCGTCGTAAAAGTTTAAAATTTACTAAATTTCTAGTCCTAACGAATTTCATATTGTTGTAAAAAAGAAAATGGCAGGCAAGGTTTTCGGAATCTTTATCTTATCGTACGGAGGAAAAGCGCAAGAATTTAAACGCAACGTACTCACGTTCGCGCCAAGGAATATTCGCGGTCAGGATGTCTAAAGTGTTCTCTTGATGGAGTACCATCGGGATTACCTGAAACAGAGATTCGAGTTTCTGTTAAATCGACGAGCGTCTCTTTACGCATCCAAGGTAAAATATTTAGTGTAAAGGTGAATAAACCCTAAAGCGCAGATAAATAGGTAAATTTGTGTCGCAGCGCGTCCGTTTGGTAGTGAATCGGTCTCGACGGAGGCCGATTTACAAACGGTGTCCTGAGGCTCCTGAAGTTCACGCCGCACAACTACCAGCTCGCTCGAGGTCCTGACTATGAATATCGTCCGCAGTGTAGACGCTCCGGTTAGCAAAGAGTTAGATACTGGTTTAGAAATGACCGAGCGGCCTCTAAGCGGCAGTCTATTACTCGAGAACGAAGAGGACGCACGTGGAGCAACGGCTTCTTTTTTCTCCCGAGGCGGCGGAGAAAAGCAAGGGAAACGACGGGAGGAAACGATCTCGTCTCTCGCTTGAATGGGCACCTGTTTTCGCGGGGACAGGTGACATCACGCACACGCGGTGGTATATAAACGGGCGTGGGAACCAGAGGACGGGTCGAGGGCAATGACTTCTCGAACGAGTCGACGTAGGCGCCGAGATAGGCGTAGCGAGACTCGCCCTGAAGAGAGACGCCTTCGCTTCGCGAGGAGGGGGGATCGGCGCTCGCACGACCGTCGTGAAAATGAATTTTCGCGGGATGGATTCGCCGGCTGTGTTTGCATTGCCAACGACGAGACCGATATGTGTGAATTGCGGTTCATTGTGACGGTTAATTGCGATCGTGCGGTGCGCAGTCGTCGTAATGTCGATTAGAGGGCGAATTAATGAGGGAATCGAGTTTCCAAACGGCAAAGTCAAGGCAGGTTTTGATGACATGAAATATTTTAATATCCATCTTGTCATAATATACAGGGAGATTCATATAAAGTGACTGATTTAATTATTAGCGAAATTTGTGCGATGATATACGAAAAAATGGTCCATACCGACTTGCTCAGTAGGAACTATTTTTTCACACGTCTTTATAAATTTCGCTAATAATTAAATTCGTCACTTTATAAGAATCATCTTGTGTGTATATATATATATATATATATATATATACAGGGTGCACGATTTATCTGAAGACATTGAAATATCTCGAGAACTATGCATTGGATAAAAAAGAGTGGTTAATGAAAGTTGTTAGTCTCGAAGGGGGACATTCAATGATACCAAACTCGACCTCCCACCCCACCCCCTGGGAGTGGGGGTTGGGGGCAACTTTGAAATCTTAAATGGAAACCCCCATTTTTTATTGCAGATACGGATTCTACGCCACAAAATACGTAAATTTTGTCCGAAACTTTTTTTTTTTATTCGTGATAGATGGCGCTGTAATCGCAAAAAATTATATTTTCCGCAATATATTCTCCAGAAATGATCATTGGATTGAGAAATAAAAAATACCTGTTCAATATTTTTAAAGAACATAATAAAAGTTATTCCCCCCCCATCCTCTCGGGGTAGGGTGGGTGATAACGTTCAAATCTCAAATGGGGACCCACATTTTTCATTGCAGAATTAGATTGTACGTGAAATTTTTATTGAAACAATTTTTTTCACTCGTGATAGATAGCGTTGAATTTTTCCGAGAAACTACTTTTAGCGTTACACAGGAACAATGACGAGGACGTAGTAGTTTTATGTTCCCTTCGGGTGCTTTTTTAATGTGAGTCCCCTTGCCTCTCACAGATCGGGGTGCTTTTTTAATGTGAGTCCCCTTGCCTCTCACTGTTCAATTAATCAGAGTAAGTGTTCGAAATTTTTACCTTCAACTTCAATACACTTATTGATCCTTTTTTCAAATGACTGTACACAGGATAGAAGCATATCTGCGGGAGTTTCAGCGCAAGCGTTTCTTATGCGTTCTACCATATTTTCACGAGTTGTTGGCACTTGTTGATAAACCTTATCTTTTATGTAACCCCACAGAAAGAAATCCGATGATGTTAAATCAGGCGACCTAGCAGGCCAATTAATCGGGCCACCTCTGCCAATCCATCTCTGCCTTTTATAATAAGCCGTAGTTCGCCATACACCCACAGTGGCGCGTCGAGCAGTTCCCTCTTCGATTCGGGTTCCCATTTGAGATTTGAACGTTACCACCCACCCTACCCCGAGAGGATGGGGGGGAATAACTTTTATTATGTTCTTTAAAAATATTGAACAGGTATTTTTTATTTCTCAATTCAATGATCATTTCTGGAGAATTGCGGAAAATATAATTTTTTGCGATTACAGCGCCATCTATCACGAATAAAAAAAAAAGTTTCGGACAAAATTTACGTATTTTGTAGCGTAGAATCCGTATCTGCAATAAAAAATGGGGGTTTCCATTTAAGATTTCAAAGTTGCCCCCAACCCCTACCCCCAGGAGGTGGGGTGGGAGGTCGAGTTTGGTATCATTGGATGTCCCCCTTCGAGACTAACAACTTTCATTAACCACTTTTTTTTATCCAATGCATAATTCTCGAGATATTTCAATGTCTTCAGATAAATCGTGCACCCTGTATATGTAGTTTGAAGAAAGAGATCCCATTTTCATCAGTACTTACAAGATCGAAATAATTCAAACGGGAAGAAATTGCATCGAGAATCTGTAGAATGATTTATAGAAATTTTATATAAATGGAAAAATTAATTATTCGTGTACAACGATAGCAGAAACTAATTTCGTTGTTTTTATACGTAGAGCGGAAGTATTGCCAAGCCTGATACTACGAGGGCGGTCCGATAAGTACTTAGCCTCACCGCCCGATGGCGCCACTATCGCAAAAGAAATTTACTATCGTGTAGTACATTCTCGTAGACGGCTACTGTCGAAATTTCAGCCGAATCGGACTCGTAGTTTTGTTTTGACCGCGTGTGGAAGCGGGCGTGTCCGCGGATTTTAGAAAAATGAAAAAAGAGCAATATCGGTCGGTGATTCGATTCTTGTTTTTGGAAGGGAAATCGCGCAGCGAAATCAAAGAGCGCTTGGATGCTGTGTACGGTGACTCTTCTCCTTCGATGGCGACCGTCAAAAATTGGTTTAACGAGTTTCAACGTGGTCGCACGTTGGTTTTTGATGAGCCACGCCCAGGTGCCCCGAAAACGGCTATCACGGAGGATAACATGACAAAAATCCACGATTTCGTATTGACAGACCGCCGATTGAAGGTGCGCGAGATAGCTGAGACAGTAGGCATCTCAAAAGACCGCGTGGGTCATATCCTGCATGAAATTTTGGGCATGAGAAAGCTGTCGGCGCGATGGGTGCCGCGTTTGCTCACTCCGGACAACAAGCGCAACCGTGAGACCACTTCAGAGCAGTGTTTGACACTGTTTAAGCGCAATCCGAGGGAGTTTCTGCGTCGTTTCGTGACCGTCGACGAAACATGGATCCACTGGTACACACCAGAGACCAAGGAACAGTCGAAACAGTGGACTTCACCCGGCGAACGTGCTCCGAAGAAGGCGAAGACTGTCCTATCGGCCGGAAAGGTGATGGCCACCGTTTTCTGGGATTCACAAGGTGTGATCTACATCGACTACCTGGAGAAGGGCAAAACGGTCACAGGGCTATACTATGCCGAATTATTGAGCCGATTCGACGCCGAATTGTAGAAAAAACGGCCCCATTTGGCGAAGAAAAAAGTGCTCTTCCACCATGACAACGCACCGGCTCACACCTCCGCCCTCGCCACGGTCAAATTGGTCGAATTGGGCTACGAACTGCTGCCCCATCCACCGTATTCTCCAGATTTGGCCCCGTGCGACTTCTTTTTGTTTCCAAACTTGAAAAACTCACTCGCCGGGCAGAAATTTGAGTCGAATGAGGAGGTCATCGCCGCCACGGAGGCCTACTTTGCAGACCTCGAGAAAACGTATTTTTCAGACGGGTTAAAGAAGTTGGAGCATCGCTGGGTCAAGTGTATCGAGCTAAAAGGAGACTATGTTGAGAAATAAATCGCCACTTTTCCAAAATTTTCGTTTTTCTTTTGTAGGCTAAGTACTTATCGGACCACCCTCGTATAATTTAAGTGAGATGGTCCGAATATTTCGTCTCATCGTGAATTCCACACACAACAGCTATAATATGATTACATGAAAAACAATATTCGCAGATAATAAATCGATTTCGATATCGTTCTCGCGCCAAGCTCCATAATCCGATAAACGTGATGTAAAGTAAGACTCTGCAATATCTCGAAGGCCGCACGCGTGATAAGAAAACTATATGACGCGGAGCTCCATTTCGCTCCAGATCGCCGCGGTACATCGGAAGATTAAAAAAGACCGGCTTATCGGTTGTTCGACTACTCCCCAGCCGGGTGGCAATCGTCCTGCGATTGCGCTTATCACCTGCCTGAGTCATTTCATTTTGCCGGCGACAAGGTCGTACGAAGGCAAACACGCGTTCGCAACCAGTCATCCTACTCCGGCTATCGTTCATTGATCCGCCGGAAAAGAGAAGATATTAGGATGCTTAAACGAAATCAAAGCCTTTCGAGAGATTTTCAAGTTGCAAGGACGACGTCGGTGTGTATAGCAATGCGAACAACGCTTTCAGACATAATATCAAAACAATCGCGAATCGTAAAATTCGATTCGAGTGAACAATAGGTTAAGCATTTCTCGTTCCGCAGGGAAACCCCGCAGATTAATTCCGATGCAAATCAAACGTGCTAATGAAAGTTGTTAAAATATAAACACGCTACTTCGGCATGTACGTTAATTTATTTAGTACACTTGAGTAAGGGGACGCGACGACGAATTACGCGCAACGATGGCCGCCGGTTCCGCCACGATTACGACGCAATGATGCAATGCGCTTGAATGCGCCGGGGCGCTAAATTGATAAATTTGCATGCTCCGCCGTCATCCTACGACGCAGCACTCGTGCATACGGTGCATTCTCGTGTTGCACGACCAAAACGGGCTGTGCATCTCGAGAAAGAGAGAGAGAGAGAGAGAGAGAGAGAGAGAGGGAGAGAGAGAGAGAGAGAGAGAGAGAG